AATGGGATTCCAAAGTAATAGAAATTTTTTTAGTAAAACAAAAGTAAAGTTAACTTTATATAAATATTTCATGTTTACTAGCTATTTGTGTACATTCTTTGTGAATTTTATATTCAGAACATCTGCCCATTTTTCTGTTGACATCTTAGTTTTTAAAAATTATCTATTACCAAACAGATGAATATAGGAAAATAAAATAAGATGAAAGTAGGAAGGGAGGCAAACCACACGAAATGCTAAACTCTAGGAAACAGAAGTTTGTTGGAGGGGAGGTCGGTGGGAGGAAGGAGTAACTGGGTGCTGAGTGTTAAGGAGGGCACTTGATGTAATAATCACTGGGTGTTGTATGCAAATAATGAATCACTAGATTCTATCTCTGAAACTAGTAATACAGTATCTGTTAACTAAATTGTATTTAAATAAAGAATTAAAAAATTATCTGAGTGATTCTTTACAGCTTAAAGTAATAAACCTTATTTTTTCATAGATGTTGAAACTTTTTTCCAAAATATGTTTGCCTTTTAATTTTATATTACTTTTCTTGACATATTAAGGTTTGAAAATTTCATTTAGGCAAACCAGTCAGGCCCTGTATTTCTTATTTTTTCTGGTTCCTTTCATATTTAGAATACCTATCTAGCCCATCCAAGTTCTGGTGTTTACCTTTAGAACCTGCATTACATTGTGTTTCCTGCCTTAGGGTTTGCAGTACCTACTCATATATTCTTTGTAGAATTTTCTTATGGGGTGGTTTTTTAAAATGTTGGAATTTGTTTTCATCAGTAATGCGTGAAGATTTAAGATTTATTTTTAAATAACTAGCTAATTTTTTAGCAATTTTATATCCCATTTTTTTTTATTCTAAATTTTTTTTTAAAAGATTTTATTTATTTATTTGTCAGAGAGAGAGAGAGGGAGAGAAAGCAAGCACAGGCAGACAGAATGGCAGGCAGAGGCAGAGGGAGAAGCAGGCTCCCTGATGAGCAAGGAGCCCGATGTGGGACTCGATCCCAGGACGCTGGGATCATGACCTGAGCCGAAGGCAGCCGCTTAACCAACTGAGCCACCCAGGCGTCCCTATTCTAACTTTTTGTATGTTATGGTTCTGATGAGGGGCTTTCCACTTTGTTTTATTGACCTATAAGCCTATAGTCTGTGATAGAACCATTCGGGTTTAGTTATTGGGAAGACATGTTATGTGTATGTCTCTGGTTAGATTAGGCTTCTCTCATTTCTTCCACCTCCAACTCCGTCCCCTACTTCCCAATTTTCCTTTACTGTTCTCATCTGCTTATTCTTCCAGATGATCTTTAGAACCATTTTCTAAGCCCTTACCTTCACTTGAGATTTTGATTAGAATTATTTTAAATTCGTAAATTAATTTTGGGGAAAATAGTTATCTTTATAGAGACAGTTTCCCAACTAAGAACATTCCCCATTTTTTAAAAAGTAATTATTAAGCTCAACATGGGACTTGAACTCATGACCCCAAGATCAACAGTTGCATGCTTTACCAACTGATCCAGCCAGGGACCCCAGAACATTCCCCATTTTTAAATTTCTTTTTTGTATCATTATAGTTTTGAAATTTTTCTTAATTATACATTCTCAATTATATTTAATATAAAGATTGCTAAATTTTTAACAAGTGTATATGAATAATTATAATAGAGGATATAATCTGAAGTATAGTTGTCCATGCATATGGAGATTTAGACTGATTTTAAATAATTGAAGGTCAGTACAATAATAATAATAAGCAAACAAGACATAATAGCAAAATAATTAACCTCTGAATTTGAGACAGATTGCTTCTATTACAAAAAAATTATCGACACATAATAAAATAAATGAGAATATAGACTTATGTTAGCCCTTTAAACTTTTCAGTTGCTTATAATATCCCTATATTTTTTAAGAAACTATATTTTTTTTAAGAAACTATATTTTTTTTAAGAAACTATATTTAATTTATTCATTTGGGGATATTTTTATTTTCTATACCTAAAATCTCTGTAATTTTCAGTCTTTTAGGTCATGATGCAAGAAGTTCTTAAGCCTCTCTGACTTTTGTCCAGTAAAATTTATCTTTGCATAGAAGTGAGATTGGGTTAGCTTAAATGGATCCATAAAGTTCGTTTGAATTCTAAGTATGAGTCTTTTGTCAGCTGTTAGATTTAATACAGTAGTTTGATAATCCAAAGTCATTTTTATTCTAAGTAGTTTTCTTTTTTAAATATTTTATTTGTTTATTTGACAGACAGAGATCACAAGTAGGCAGAGAGGCAGGCAGAGAGAGAGGAGGAAGCAGGCTCGCTGCTGAGCAGAGAGCCCGATGTGGGGCTCGATCCCAGGACCGTAGGATCATGACCTGAGCTGAAGGCAGAGGCTTAACCCAATGAGCCACCCGGTGCCCCTCTAAGTAGTTTTTAATGGACATGTTTCTTACCACTTTCTTTATCATCCATAGGTCTGCAAGGACTTTCCTCTTACTATTTGGGAACAGGTTTTATCCTCTTTGCATAATTCCTTTGGAGGCATTTTGTTCATTTCACTAAAGGAACTGTGGTAAAACCAGAGAAATACAAATACATATAGGAATTATAGGCCCTAATTTTGTTAAAGTTTGTGATTTTCTCTGACGTTTCTTCCCTCAGTGCATTTTATTTCTCTCTTGATGCTCTGTAGTCTTAGCCAACTAGTTTTTGTCTCTTTTTCCACCTGTTTTTCCATCTAGCCATCCATTCATTTTTCATTTTTAAATTTATTCAGCTGGTTTTTATAAACTGTTTTAATCAGGCATCAGGAAAATGATGGCAAACAAGATATAGTTTCCGTGAAAGATTCCTTTTTTTCTTTTTTTTCCAGGGCACTTAATAGTGTAGAGGATGAATTGGGAGAACATAAAATTGTGGAGATTGAATAGTGAGAAGGCAGTGGCTATAGAGAGGACAAAGAAAATAAAGATAGTTGTTAGGACTTATTGATAAATATGGGGTGAATAAGAGAAGGTAGGTTCAGGATATTCCCCAAGATCCTGCCTTATCTATTCATTATATTTTTAGTGTTGTATATATTATATTGCATTCAGACATTGTGCTAAATGCTAGAGGGTATAATAAATGACCACATCAAGACTAAGAACACAGAAGAGAGAGTTGATTGGTTATGACTGGGGACAGGGATTGTGGGTGTAGAATAGAGTATGAGTTCAGTTTCAGGCAAGCTCAGGTTGAGCTTCCTCTTAGATATACAAGTGGAGATAGTGAGTATTCAGATAGAGAGTGTAAGAGAGTCATAGCTAAAGATGCAGACTTGGAAGTCATCAATGTATAGCTGGTGATTGGGTTAGGAAGTCTTTCAAAATGAGTGCTTTATGTTAAAAGAGAGTGGGAATTGGAGCCTTGGGAAGCACCACCATTTCTAGGTTAGTCAGAGGAAGAACTTGTCAAGAAAACGAAAGTAGAGTAATCAGAAAGTTAGAAGGGAACCTGAGAGAGTGTTTCACAAAAGCCAAGAGAATTTTCCAGACAAATATGTTCAACTGTATGCAGAGTTAAAGGTCAATAAGATAATGATTGAAAAATATCCACTAGATTTTGTAAATAGGAGGTCATTGTTGACCATGTGGAAAACCCTTTTTGGGGGGATTCAAATAATAGATGAGTGAATGTTAGCCGCTCCCCCATTTAAAAAAAAAAAAGAACTTTGGGCTTCTAAAAAAGAGAGACTGGAGAGACAAATAGTAGGTTTCATAGCATTAACGGAAAGTTAGCTTTGGAGAGAGAGACAAGTTAATTTAAGGGATATTGGTGTAGAGAATGGAGACATTTAAAGAGCTGTCTTCCCCTGGCACTTAAAAACTTCAGAACAGCAGGCACTGGTTTACTCATCAGTGTGTCTAGTGCCTGACATATAGGAAGTGATCAGTATTTGGTCAATGATGGAGCCTAACAAAAGAGTTGAACAGGGGCGCCTGGGTGGCTCAGTGGGTTGGAGCCTCTGCCTTCGGCTCAGGTCATGATCCCAGAGTCCTGGGATCGAGCCCCGAGTCGGGCTCTCTGCTCAGCGGGGAGCCTGCTTCCTCCTTTCTCTCTGCCTGCCTCTCTGCCTACTTGGGATCTCTCTCTGTCAAATAAATAGGTGAAATCTTTAAAAAAAAAAAAAAAAAGTGTTGAACAGTTTTTGTTCATTGTAAATCTAGTCTGAATTATAGTTTCAAATTTAGTCAGTTCTAGAAGCATAAGATTTGTTTTTGTTTCCTGACATTAAAAATTAAACCTATAATTAAAAAATGTTTCCTTTTATAGGGTTTTAAAAATTCTTATAGATCTAGAATGAGATCTGCTTTGGAATATATTCTGTGTTTCTCTTAGTACTCCACATTCCTACAATTTACTACTTTGTCTTTTATAGTGTGTTTTAAGTTCTGCTTTGGCTATCATTATCTTTTTTTGGAAACTTTGAAAATTTTAAAGATTTTTTGAATTTTTATGATAGTCATAAAATTGAAACAACTTGTTAACAAAATATATAAATCATTCCTTTTCTGTATAACTTGTTTTTGAATTGTACCTGTTCTTTTTTAATAATGTGAACATTTACTCCGTAGTGCAAGGTTTGTGATGGCAAGTATCCTATATTCACTCCACTTATAGTGAAACTAATCTTCTAAAGTTCCAATTAATCCTTCATTTAATTTCTGTAATTTAAGAAATTAAAAAAATTTCATATCAAGTTAATGTATCCCAATTGTTTACTTAAGTAAGATCTAATAAATTTTCTATGTAATTTTTTCATATTAGGCAGAGTCAAGGGAATATATGGATATAAAGATTATATTTTTAAGTAAAAAAAATATGGCCCCTAACTTTTTCTTTTGAGATTTCTTAGTTGTTTATGAAAGTTTGATTTCTGTTCCATAGACATATATGGGAAATATAAAATGAATTAGAAAAGATATACAATATTGTCTAAAGTGATTATGCATTTTCTTTTAGGCAGGGAAATGAAGAACAACAGCCTGAGGTTCCGGTTCTTTATCATGATGTTACATCTCTTTTGCTCATCCAGATCTTAATGATGCCGCAACCCTTACGAAAAGGTATGTCTTTATAATTCTGCTTCTTAGCCATATAGTATACATAATACTCTAAAAATTATGGGGCAGGGGCACCTGGGTGGCTCAGTGGGTTGAAGCCTCTGCCTTCGGCTCGGGTCATGATCTCAGGGTCCTGGGATCGAGCCCCATATCGGGCTCCTTGCTCGGTGGGAAGCCTGCTTCTCCCTCCCCCCTGCTACTCTCCCAGCTTGGGCTTTCTCTCACTCTCTGTCAAACAAATAAAACCTTAAAAAATTATTAAAAAAATAAAATAAAATAAAATGAAAATTATGGGGCAAATATTAATTCTGTTGGTAATGTTTTGAGGTCAAGGAGTTTTTTATTTTTTTATTAGTAGTAAATCATATATATCTAAAAGAAGATGACAGTGAAATAAAGGTTTTTTTTTTTTCCTCATGGGTCTGTTCTTTTAAGGTTTTTATTCAATAATAAGGTAAAGATAAGGGAAAATCACTCTGAAAACTTTTGTTTTAAAAAAATTTAAAGTGATAATTCAAAAATGTAAAAAAAAAGAGCTAATCATCAGCCTTAATGTCTCTATCTACATGCATAAATACTTTATATAGTAGTAATCGTAGGGTTATTCAAATGTGATACCCCATAATTTTTAATTAATGTTAATGTACTGTCTTGATAGTAACAGCATTAATACTGTGATAACAATAACATTAATATTATATTAATAATGTTTTAATTATTGTTCCATAGTCTTTGTAGTTTTCATTTAAAGACATTTAAAATATTCTACTAAGTAATTAACCATTCCTTTTTGGTGAAAAGCTTTGTTTTTGTGTTATTATGAGTTACATGAAAGAACATCTATAGGTGTATAAAGGCCTTGTTACTGGGGAAGATATTTTTTGTGTGTACTTCAACTTGATCTTTTGATATAATTTTTTACCTAAGGGTGTGAAGCGATCATTTATTCTAAACATAAGCAAATTGGTATTTTATGCAAATTGTGATACTCTCTGAGGAGTTAAATGTCATTAATAAATAAGCATAATATTTTATATTTGAACTGTAGTTCAATATTTTATACTTGAATTTTGGGGTTTTTAAAAAGTTTTTATTTTAATCACCTGGTGTTCATTAAGGCAAGTGCACGCCTTAACCCCCATCATGTATTTCACCCATCCCCCCAACCACCTCCCCTCTGGTAATCCTCAGTGTGTTCTATATAGTCAGGGGTCTGTTTATTGATTTGCCCCTCTCTCTCTCTTTTATTCTCTTTGCTTATTTGTTTTGTTTCTTAAATTCTACGTATGAGTGAAATCATATGGTAATTTGTCTTTCTCTGACTTATTTCACTGAACTTAATACTCTCTAACTCCATCCATGTCATTGTAAATGGCAAGATTTCATTCTTTTTATGGCTGAGTAAATCCAGTAAATATGTACATGTATTTATACACACACACACATATATTTATAATATATACACACACACATACACACACCACATCTTTATCCATTCATCAATTGATGGACATTTGGGTTGATTCCATATCTTGGCTATTATAAATAATGCTGTAGGGGCGCCTGGGTGGCTCAGTGGGTTAAGCCGCTGCCTTCGGCTCAGGTCATGATCTCAGGGTCCTGGGATCAAGCCCCACATCGGGCTCTCTGCTCAGCAAGGAGCCTGCTTCCTCCTCTCTCTCTGCCTGCCTCTCTGCCTGCTTGTGATCTCTGTCTGTCAAATAAATAAATAAAATCTTTAAAAAAGAATAATGCTGTAAATATAGGGGTGCATATGTCCCTTTGAATTAGAATTTTGTATTCTTTGGGTAAATATCCAGTAGTGTGGTTGCTGGATCATTGAGGATACCCCATTGAGGGTAGCTCTGTTTTTAAGTTTTTGAGACACCTCCATACTGTTTTCCAGAGTGGCTGCACCAGTTTGCATTCCCACCAGCAGTGCAAGAGGTTTCCTTTTTCTCTACATTCTTGCCAACACTTGTGTCTTGCGTTTTTGGTGTTAGCTATTCTGGCAGTGTGAAGTAATATATCATTGTAGTTTTGATTTGTGTTTCCTTGATGATGAGTGATACTGGGCATCTTTTCATGTTTCTGTTGGCTATCTGGAGGTCTTCTTTGGGAAAGTGCCTATTCATGTCTTCTTCCCATTTTTTTTTTTAAAGATTTTATTTATTTATTTGACAGACAGAAATCACAAGTAGGCGGAGAGGCAGGCAGAGAGAGAGAGGAGGAAGCAGGCTCCCCACCAAGCAGAGAGCCTGATGCAGGGCTCGATCCCAGGACCCTGGGACCGAGACCTGAGCTGAAGGCAGAGGCTTTTAACCCACTGAGCCACCCAGGCACCCCGTCTTCTTCCCATTTTTAATTGGATTGTTTTTTCGGTATTGAGTTGTATAAGTTCTTTATAGGTTTTGGATACTGACCCTTTATCAGATATGTCATTTACAATTATCTTCTCCCATTCTGTCCATTGTCTTTTAGTTTTTATTTTGAGGCAGTCCCAATAGTTCATTTTTGCTTTTCTTTACCTTGCCTCAGGAGACATATGTAGAAAGAAGTTACAATGGCGATGTCGAAGAAGTTACTGCCTGTGTTTTTTCTAGGATTTTTATTGTTTCAGGTCTCACATTTAAGTTCTTAATCCATTCTGAATTTATTTTTGCATATGGTGTAAGAAAGTGGTCCAGTTTTATTCTTTTGCATGCTGCTATCAAGTTTTCCCAGCACCATTTGGATATCCCATTGGATATTCTTTTCTGCTTTGTCAAAGTTTAATTGACCATGTAGTTCTGGGTTTTCTTTTCTGTTCTACTGATCTATTGTCTGTTTTTGTGCCAGTACCGTACTGTTTTGATCACAACAGTTTAGTAATATAACTTGAAGTCCGGATTTGAGACATCTCCAGTTTTGCTTTTCATTTTCAAGGTTGCTTTGGCTATTTGGGGTCTTTTGTGGTTCCGTGCAAATTTTAGGATTGTTTATTCTAGCTCTGTGAAAAATGTTATTGGTGTTTTGATAGGGATTGCATTAAATATGTAGATTGCTTTGGGTAGTATGGATAATTTAACAATATTTATTCTTCCAATCCATAAGCATGGAATGTTTTTCCATTTCTTTGTGTCATCTTCACTTTCTTTAGTCAGTGTTTTCGTTTTCAGAGTACAGGTCTTTCATCTCTCTGGTTAGATTTATTCCTAGATATCTTATTATTTTTGGTGCAGTTGTAAATGGGATTGTTTTTTTGATTTCTCTTTCTGCTGCTTCATTATCGGTGTATAGAGATGCCACAAAAAAAGAAAAAAAGAAATGCCAGATTTCTGAATGTTGATTTTGTACCCTGGGAGTTTACTGAATTCATTTATCAGTTCTAGCAGTTTTTTGGTGGAGTCTTTCAGGTTTTCTATATACAATGTCATATCATCTGCAAATAGTGAAAGTTTTATTTCTTCCTTATTGAATTGGATGCTTTTTACTTCTTTTTGTTGTCTGATTGTTGTGTCTAGGACTTCTAGTACTGTGTTGAATAAAAGTGGTGAGAGTGGATATCCTTGTCTTGTCTTGACCTTAGGTGAAAGGCTGTCAGTTTTTCCCCATTGGGGATGATGTTAGCTATAGGTTTTTCATAGATGGCCTTTATTATGTTGAGGTATGTTCCCTCTTAACCTACTTTGTCGAGGGTTTCTATCATGAATGGACATTGTACTTTGACAGATGCTTTTTCTGTACCTATTAAAATGATCATATGGTTCTTTGCTTTCTTTTATTAATATGATATATCATAATGATTGATTTGCTAATATTGAACCACCCTTGCAAACCAGGAGTATATCCCACTTGATGGTGGTAAATTATTTTTTTAATGCATTGTTGGATTTGATTTGCTGATGTTTTGTTGAAGATTTTTGCATCTATATTCATCAGAGACATTGGCTTTTAATTCTTTTTTTGTGTGTGTGGTGTTTTTGTCATTTTTTTCTATCAGGGTAATGCTGGCCTCATAGAATGAATTTGGAAGTACTCTTTCTTTTTCTGTTTTTTAGAATATTTGAGAAGAATGGGTATTAATTCTTTAAATGTTTGGTAGAATTTGCCTATGAAGCCGTCTGGTCCTGGGCTTTTGTTGATTGTGAGTGTTTTGATTACTGATTCAATTTTTTGCTGGTAATCAGTCTGTTCAAATTTTCTGTTTCTTCCTGTTTCAGTTTTTGTAGTTTATATATTTCTAGGAATTTATCCATTCGTTCTAGGTTGTCCAATTTTGTTGGCATATAGCTTTTCTTTTCTTTTAAAAGATTTTATTTATTTATTTGACAGAGAGAGACAGTAAGAGAGGGAACACAAAGGGGCGGGGGTTGTGTAGGAGAGGAAGAAGCAGGCTTCCCGCTGAGCAGGGAGCCCAATGTGGGACTCAGGACTCAGGACCCTGGGACCATGACCTGACCCGAAGGCAGACACTTAATGACTGCACCACACAGGCACCCCAACATATAGCTTTTCATAATATTCTTTTATAATTTTATTTCTGTGATGTTGGTTCTTTGGTGATTCTACTTAGTTGAATGCCTTCTCTTTTTTTCTTGATAAGTCTGGCTAGGGGTTAATCAATTTTGTTGAGTTTTTTTCTCAGTGAACTTGTTCCTGTCTTCATTGATCTGTTCTATTGGTTTTATTTTTTTAGTTTCTGTATCATTTATTTCTGCTCTAATCTTTATTGTCTTCTTCCTTTTGCTGGTTTTAGGTTTGTTTGTTGTTTTTCTAGCTTTTTTAGGTGTAAGGTTAGGTTGTTTGAGATTTTTTCTTGCTTCTTGAGGTAAGCCTGTATTGCTCCAAACTTCCCTCTTAGAAATGCTTTTGCCGCATCCCAAAAGTCTTGAACCATTCATTTTCATTTGTTTCCATGTACTTTTTTTTTTTTTAAGATTTTTATTTATTTGAGAGAGAGTGGTGGAGTGCACAAGCAGGGGGTAAGAAGCAGGCTCCCTGCCGAGCAGGGAACCCAACAC